TAACTATCAGTAACAATATATTAAATCTGATCTGTGAAGACTGTACTGAATGTGATTATAACAGTATATAAAAGAGTTTCTGAAATTATCAGAAATCAGAAAACTCATCTACATATTCTGAATATGAGAGATCTCACTTTGATAACTATTAATTAATCAATTCAGACAGTGCTTCAGATAATTGAAGAATCTACAACACTATGAGAATAAAGAAATTCAAAGAAAAGAAGGAAAAGAATAATAGTAAAGATAAGACTTAACTATTTATTATAGATAATTCAGAGACCTTTCAGATAATAAATCTCACAGAGATTATTAATATATTAGTCTGTTTTATAAAACTTCACAAGAATCTCTTCAATAGATGTTTATACATATCAAAAGATGTTATCTTTCAGAAGAATCTCTGTCTTATCAATTCATTGATACTGACTACTCTACACAATCTGAAGGTTCTACTCAATACGGTCTGTAAAGCGGCTGCGGCGATTTCTTCAGTAACATCAGGCCTACTCACTGCAGCCTGTTAAGAGACTGCAGTGATTTCTGATCTATACATTGATGAGGAAATTCAATCTGAGTATTCATTATTTCTCATACTCACTAATAATTGATGAATTGACTATGAAATCTCCGCGAGAATACCTATCTTTTTAGTACAGAATACACTGAACTCTTCAGAACTCACAGTTGAATCTGATAACTCTCTGACATCTACAAGAAATATCACTATAGTGAAGAAATCAACAGTGAGGAAATCTTCAGTGAGAAACAGTTTTGAAGACCTACTCATCAATTCTGAGATCACTGTACTTCTGATTCTGAAAAACCTCACACATGTCAAAGCTTCCATGGAATGAAAGTATTATTACAAGGCCTGTGTTAAAGAGATTAATTGTTTAAAATAGATAGAGGTCTGACAACTGATTGAGAGAACATCACAAATAAGTGTTCTTCACAGTCAATGAGTATTTGACAAAAAGTTCAATAATATGAGTGATGTTATTCACTATAAGACCTGCTGAGTTGTCTGCAGAAATCTTCAATAGAAGAGAGTTAATTACTCAAGAATCTTTGCATCTGTTATCTCTGTATTCATCTCACAAGCTCTCATGACAATCTCAGTATCTCAGAGATAATATGTTCTGTAGATTGATATAATGACCACATTTTTAAACACTCAACTGTCTGCTGATGAACAGATATATATAAATCAACTCACAGAATTCTGTGAAGATTATGATAATCTTGTATATGAGTTGATACAGAGACTCTACAGCCTTAAACAGGCAGTACTCTTATAATATGAGAAGCTGTGAAAGATGCTATTATACTCAGACTTCTGTATCAGTCTCTATGATGCTGAACTATTTATTCATGATGAAAGACAGATCTATATAATTATTTATATAAATGATGTTCATCTCTACAGTCTGAAAATTGAAGATCTGAACTGAGTCAAAGTCAAAATCACTGCTAATTATGAGATCAAGAATGTAGAGGATTTTAACTGCTATCTAGAAATGAAGATTGATAGAGATTCAACTTCATTAACATTATCTTAACTTCTCTTTATAAGAAATCTTCTGAAGAAGTTCTCAATGAATGACTGTTATTCTACATTCATTTCTATGAAGAAGAATGTCAATTTCATGAATAATGATGAGAAATTGATTACATATACAGCAGAATTTACTCTACAGTTCTATCAATTCAGTATCAGATTTCTGCAATATCTTGTATTTAATACACATTCTGATATGAGCTTTGCTGCAGGATTTCTTAGATGATTCAGCTCCCAGCCTACATTAAAGAACTAGGCTGTATACAAGTATATACTCTGATATCTACAGGGTTCAATCAATGAGAGTATAATCTATCACAGAGGTGCTGAAATTGAACCTGTAGCATATGCAGATGCCGATTGAGCCGGTAGAAATTCAGAATCTCATTCAATCACCAGTTATATCATCTACATGGCAGGTGGCCCTGTTGCATGGCAGAGCTGCTGGCAAACAGAGGTTTTAAGTCATCAACAGAGGCTGAATATATTGCATTCTCTGAGACTGTATATGAGCTTGTCTGTCTCTGAGAGCTTCTAGAAGATGCTGACTTCATCTCATCTCATCTCAACAATCTGAATGCTGATAATCATCTCATTCCCACCATAGTCAATGATCTGGCTTATATGATTCATGCTGATAATAAGTCTGTCATAGAGCTATTCTCTTCTGAAGCAATTTCACACTGCTCAAAGTATATAGAGGTCTGTTTTCACATTCTTCAGAATCTTGTCTGCAAGAATAAGATATCTATTCAATATGTTTCATCTGCTGAGAATGCAGTGGATGAGCTTACTAAATCACTTGAAATGTTGAAATATACACATTGAAAGGAGATTATGAAGATGAAGGGATAGAGAGATAAAAAATGATGTATATCATGACTGGTTTTTCATTACTTCACATTTTCCAGTCATTTTTAGTACTTGTACTTGATTTGAAGGTGAATTTTGTATATAGCATCATGTATAGTTACTCTGATGAGTGGGGATGTCAGGTCACATGATCTGGCTTACTAATCCTTCCACCATATAACTTCCCACAAAGCTAGCAACCTTTCAATCACACAAGCTTTACACCTTTCACACAATGTACATACATGTACATACATCTGCAGTTGGACTGGGGCACTGGACTGTGCAACACAATAGTTATGCATCTCTCATTGAGCAGAAGAGACAAGACCATCCTTGGCGCCCGCCAACCGCATATTGGGAAGGGAAAACAAAATCCGTATGTACAGCAGGGGTTCAACACATAGTTATGGCTGACTGTTTTTCTTTTGGCCAAAGATTAATACCCGGAAAGGAAAGAAAAAGTTACGGACCAGAGAATGGAAGTGAAGAAGGGAAGAATCTTCCTCCCACCACCCGACTTTTAAGTATCTGCTAGATACGAAGGAGATGCTGTGAGGATCTCATCGATTCCGCCGCGTTGGTGCGGATGGGATCATTCATGAATGTCCTAGGAGCTGGGGGAAGGAGAAATCCTTCCCTTTTACCTCCTGCATTTTTCCACCTCAAATGACCCTCTTTTTTCTCCTCTTTTCTTCTTTTTCTTTCTTTATTCTTTCTTGTATCAGACAGAGTGCGCTTTGACCTGAGAGGTAATATTGGGGGCATATTTTTGAATGGAAAACGGCCACGACGAGTAATAGAGGAGTCATAAGAGATGGCTGGATGGACTTCTGCTTCAATAATCCAGCCATGTGCTTCTCGGTACAACTTTCCCTCTCGCTGGGATGAGGTTCTGGCTTCTCATGCATTTTCCCTGTCAGTATCATGCTTTGTCTGGATAACTAGCTGACTGACTGGCCGTTAGGAATGGTCTGCTGTCAACTACTCTCTTTGATGAAAAGCACAGTCTATAATATAACATTCAACCTGCCAGGCCTATATTGCTTAAATTCCCCTGTCTCCTGGCCTCTGACCATATCCGCGCCCCCGAAAAGAGGAGACATATCTTTCTTTACCCCCTTTTGTACTCTTTAACTATTTAAAAGCTTTGGTGTTTGCTCCTTGATCCCCTGGCTCTTGTTTTTCTAAACGGCTTAGTAAGGGGCCGGGCGGGCTCATAAGGGGAAAAAAAAAGAAAAAAAAGCAAAGATTGAATATTTAACATAATCAATTATCTAACGCTTGTTTTCACCTAACACTTGCCTTTGTAAATCAATTACAATCAACTTCAAATATTTATATCTCAATGAATATTTATTTAAAACTATTCTAAAAAACAGAACAATAATTTGTAGATATATATTATATTATATTAAATTTCTATGAGAAAATAACATATAATTATTAATTTATTAAGCTTTTTAAAATACTATTTTAAAATAAAATACACAGTTTATATTTATAAATATACTTATAAATATAAATTATTTTTATATAAAAATTAAATATCTTATAGATTATATATATTTTTAATAAAATATAAAATTTTATCTTGAAATTCTTATTTATTATTAATTTATTTAAATTTTTATGAAAAATTTTATATTTTAAAATACTATTTGTGTAATAACTATGTATTATTTATACTTTAAAATTGTAATTTAAATAAATTATTATATCAAATCATTTAAATATATTTATATTTAATAAATTATTTTTTAAAATTTAAAATTTCAAGAATTTTCAATATTTTACTTATAATTTATAAAAAAAAAATTATAATAAAAAAATAAAAAAATTCTTAAAAATTAAAATATAGAATTCTTATATAAAATAATTTAATATTTATTAAATTATTATATATTTATATAAGAATTATTATTTTCAATAATATATAATACATATTTCTTAATTTATAATAAAATATTATATATTTTATTTTAGTGTATTCTCAGTGGCCGAATGGTTAATGCGGCCACTCAGTAGCGCCTTGGCGTGGGAAACCAAGACACGTGGGTTCGAAACCTGCAGAGAATACATTAAATCTGGAACTCAAGCATCTCAGATTTCTAATAAATACAGAGGTGTACAAATCGCTTCAATGAATTGCTCTATGTTCCTGAGCTGAGAAGTTATTATCGCATGTATCTAATTGTCACTCCTTTGTATTTTCCTATGTTCTTGTTATCTTGGCATGGTCTCAACACCTGTATTTCCTCCTGTATATGTGGAAGGTGTAAAGCTTGTGTGATTGAAAGGTTGCTAGCTTGTGGAAAGTTATATGGTGAAAGGATTAGTAAGCCAGATCATGTGACCTGACATCCCCACTCACCAGAGTAACTATACACGATGCTATATACAAAATTCGCCTTCAAATCAAGTACAGGTACAAAAAATGACTGGAAAATGTGTAGCAATGAAAAACCAGTCATGATATACATCATTTTTTATCCCTCTATCTCTATATCTTCTTTATATTCTCTTTTCAATGTGTATATTTCAAATGATTGATCTCTTTAACACAGGCCTTGTAATAATACTTTCATTCCATGGAAGCTTTGGCGTGTGTGAGGTTTTTTGAGATCAGAAGTGCAGTGATCTCGGGATTGATGAGTAGGTCTTCAAGACTGTCTCTCACTGAAGATTCCCCCACTGTTGATTCCCCTACTATAGTGATATTCCTTGTAGATGTCAGAGGGTCATCAGATTCAACTGTGAGTTTCAGGGAGTTCAGTGTATTCTGCACTAAAAGAGTAGATATTCTCGCGGAGATATCATAGTCAATCCACCAATTATTAGTGAGTATGAGAAATAATGGACACTCAGGTCGAATTTCCTCATCAATGAATAGATTATCAATTGATGGATCAGGAATCGCTGCAGTCTCTTGACAGGCCGCAGTGGGTAGGCCTGGTGTCTCTGAAGGAATCGCCGCAGTCTCTTGACGGGCCGCAGTGGGTAGGCCTGGTGTCGCCGAAGGAATCGCCGCAGCCGCTTTATGGGCCGCATTGGGTAGAATCTTCGGGTTGTGTGAAGTAGTCAGTATCAATGAATCAGCAAGACAGAGGTCCTTCTGAAAGATGATGTCTTTTGATATGTATAAACACCTGTTGAAGGGATTCTTGTGAAGTTCTATGAAACAGACTGACACATTAATAATCTCTGTAAAATTTATCATCTGAAAGATCTCTGAATCATCTGTAATAAATAGTTAAGTCTCACTCTCACTATTATTCTTTTTCTTCTTTTCTTTGAATTTCTTTATTCTCACAGTGTTGTAGATTCTTCAATTATCTGAAGCACTGTCTGAATTGATTAATCAACAGTTATTAAAATGAGATCTCTCATATTCAGAATATGTAGATAAGTTTTCTGATCTCTGATAATTTCAGAAACTCTCTTATATACTGCTACAATCACATTCAGTACAGTCTTCACAGACTGAATTTGATGTATTGTTACTAATAGTTGATGTAGCTGTTATAGCTATTGTAGCTGTTATAACTGTTATAGCTGAGTTAACTGCAGAATCTATATTCTGCAGATTCTTTTTATCTTTTGAAGAATTAAGTTATAAACAGATTTTCTTCATGAGAAGATCAATATTCAATATCACAGCTGTGAATTTAAAATCCTGTATCTTCTCTATCTTCTTCTAAACATAATTTCTTCAATTATTGAGTAGAACTGAGTAGAAGATATCAAATATTCACACATCTGAGAAGAAAGTATTCAACATCTTTAATTTTATAATAGTGAACTGAAACTTATTAAAGAATGTGTGTAGATTGATAATCTGTATGTTATTAAAAGATATGAATTTCAGAACTGTCTTACAGTGTAACTGTGTTTTAAGAACAGAGTATTTCTATTCAATTATATTTCATAGAGTATAAGTGATTTAATTTTTATCATACTTGAAGAAATGTGATCTGACACCTGCACTCAAGAAGTTCAAGATGAATGTGTAGAGTCACTGATTTCTGACATCTCAGAATAATGCTTATTTATCATCTCTTTGTAGAGAGTTCTGAGTCTATTATTTCTCTATTATATATTAACACTATACATTAATCAGTTTCAATTTCATGAAAATACTTCATGTGATGTAATTAAATGTGTCAGTTAGACTATTTAATCTCACAGTATTCTTGATATCTTTCTTGAATTGAGAGATTACCTTGTCAACACAGCTATTTAGTTTATAAAGATTGAATTTTAATCTTTCACTAAGATTAGAATTTTATGTAACTGTTAATATAATAACAGAATGATTATTAACATTCTGTAGTTAATCTGTAGAGAATCTCTGTTAACAGAGTTTTTTCAGTTGTAGTTTGAGTTCTAAGACTTTTTACTTTCTCTTATTCATCTCAAGTATTATCTTGAGATGTTTCATCTGTTGATCTGATATTGTCTCACTCAAACTGTTGACTTCATGAGAACCAGCTTTATCAAGCTGTTAAGTAGATTGAGAGGCCGGCCTGACTGTGTCAGAAGCTGTATTCAAACCAGCTTTGAATTGAGAGAGTGTTGTGAGATGTTCTTCAATGAAGCTTTCAAAGACTTCAGAAGAATGTTCACTGACAGAGTATAAGTGTGAAGAATTATTATCATCATCAACTGCAACTGATTCAGTGAAAAGAATACAAGATTATGAACATGTATATAAGTGAGATCATATTAAATTCACTATCTTGATATTTGTTTATTGAATTCTCAATATTCATTTATTAAATTCTTGTCAATATCATTCTCTTTTTCTTGCTTTTTTGCAAATGTAATGCATTTTCTGCAAGCCTCTTTTTTAAGTGAGCAGTAGTATTATTAATCATCAAGATCTCAAATGCATCAATACTGATAGAATAAGATGATTTTAACTTCTGAAGAGTGTATCAAATGAAGCAGTAGTTTAAATAATGAGTATATTGACAAGGAATCCCGAATTGGCAGTGATTTTATACAAAACAGATCTCATAACCTGTGAAAGGTGTAAAGCTTGTGTGATTGAAAGGTTGCTAGCTTGTGGAAAGTTATATGGTGAAAGGATTAGTAAGCCAGATCACGTGACCTGACAGTATAACCAACACTTGACCTGTATTTAACATCACACAAGGACTTATCATAAGCTCCGCTTGCATATGAGTATAATGAAAGAATAATAATAATAATAATAATATTTTACTGTATTTTATTTTCTAATTGAATCTATATTTTAATCAATTTTAACTATATTATAATAATTTTGAATTATATTATACTATAAGTCTTGATATTTATAGATTATAAATTAAAAAATTAAAATAATGAATATTTATTGAGACATTAACATTTAAAGTTGATTGTAATTGATTTACAAAGGTTGAGTGTTAGGTGGAAATGAGTGTTAGGTGATTGATTACATTAATATTTTCACCATTCATTGATCTTTCTCAATGAATCAGCTAACTTAGCTCCTCTTTTCTCCATCTATCTGTGCCTAGAGCTTTCTTTCGTTCTGCTCTCTTATTTTGTACTCTCCCCTGCTTCACAGCACAATTCGATGTTTCATTCATAATCAGGCCTCTGGCTTCTGGCCTATAATATAAATAGCAACAGGATGCATGCCCCGTCAAGACTCGCATAAGTGATCCTCAAGTTTATTTATATATATGTATGTGCAAATTAAAAAAAAAAAAAAAAAAAAAAAAAAAAAAAAAAAAAAAAAACCCCAACACAACTGCACTGAAGCTTCTTATCTATTCCTCCTCTCCTTGCTTCCATCTCCTTTATTAAGATATTATTATACCTACATATATACATACAAGTGAATTATGTTTGTATATGCATGTCTACATACATGTTTCTAACACCGGAATCCAAATCCCCTGCTCTCACCCCGCCCTTTTCCCCTACGATCGACTAGATCTATATATCGCGCCATGGCACCCTCTATTGTCCTAGGTTGCTCGCAAGTGTCCCGTTCACTTAACCTATCTCCCTGACCAAAGCTAAATCTTTCGCAAAAGGCCCCTAACATAACAGATGCTCGTGGCCGCTGCGCCCCTTGACCCCCCACAAGCGGGCGTGGGGTCCACTGGGGCAAATTGCCAAATGCCAAAACCATGGGAATTCCAACGCAACTAACTACCTTACACGCCCCGAAGTCGTCTGAGTAGCACTAAACCGACATCCGCTTGGCCTCGCGGCCTTTCTGTGCTTGGGTTCCTTAAATATATATGTAAATATAAGTATATACTTAGTCTGCCCACACGCCCTACGCCGATCGTAGCGACCACGATTCTTTGCTCTTCAGATGGGCTGTGGAGATTAAAATCGCTCGCCCCGCGATGTCTGCTATTGGTGCTTTATATAGTAAAATAGCTAGTCCCATTATATATATTTCCAAAAAAAAGGGAGGAGCGTGGAAGTATAGATTTTGGTTAAAGGGGCACGAATGACTCTCGACTTGGGCCGGCACGACTTTTTAAAAACACAACAACGGATTAATCTAATTTATACCACTTGGATGCTGCAAGACATACAAGGGATGTGAAATAACGGGAGTTTATTTTCTTTCTTTTAGAATTTGATGGTCTAAATATGAGGTCGATCAGGAAAAAAAAAAAAAAAAAGGGTCTCTTGTGCTACCCAACATTTCTCCCCCAGTCCAGTCCGAAGTCCGCCTCCCTGGACAGAAAACAACCTAGATTCCGTTGTCGTCGCACATGGAGATATTAACTCGATCGATCACCAACTCTTTATCGAGCCCATGTCCGTGGCTGTCAATTCGCCCAAGGATAGGACAATGCGCATTAACCAACAGATTTAAACCAAGCGCATGAAACCTACCCGTGATCTAAACTCCAAAACGAATCAGTCGGCTTCGCCTCTTCATGCATACAACTACCTAGCCACCCATTTCCATGAGATAAATAAAAATAATAAAAAGAACAAATAAAAAAAATGGCGCATACCTCCTTTCGCACAACCCAACCACGCCGTCATATGTGCCTTGACATCGTCAAGCGCACTTGCAGCGTCCGCAAGTTTCTTCTCCGCCGTTCCCACCAACCTATCCATCTCCCTGGAGAACACGACGTGGACGGACCCCTCGATCGCCCGCCGCAGATTGCTGGCCGAATACCCGTCCCTATTGAGGGCTGGAGGGGTGCGAGGAGAATCTGTGATGGGTGCTTTTGCTGGCATGGCTCCGTTGGTAGGAGTGGTGCTGGCTTTTGCTGTGCTTGTGTCCGTGCCCGTGGTTGACATGGTGGTGGTGGTGGTAGTAGTGGTCGTCGTGTTGGTGCGGGCACATTGAAGTGCCATGGGCTCTTGCTCCGTCTCTGACACGATGACTGTATACATGTCATTTATACATATATGTGGTTAGAGCGGGATTATACTGGTATATCTGGCTTCACAATCTCGAGCGCTCATACCCGTGTCATTGACTTCAATCACGGAGGAAGAACTGGTACTGCTCCTCCCCGCACGGTTGTTTGTCACGGCCGATGTCCGCTCTTTCCTCGACCGTTTCCGCCGGAAGTCGGCGTCAGCTGTATATATTTTGCTTTTGTGTTAGCAACAGCTTCTCTGGGGTTTTTTTCCTTTGGCAAATGGAGCCTGAAATTATATTTGCGTGAAACTGTCATTTTTTACTCACGATCGTTCTCGTCCACCACCCGGCGGTGCTGGCAGCGCTTTCTCTTCCGACGGCATGAGTCGCAGACTCGCGTCAGCCTTTTGCCCGGTTGGAGGTGAGGGGTTGGCGGTTGGAAGCGTTTCTTGTTGTCAGGAGTTGACTTAGTAGCCTGGTTCGTCTATTTTCTACCCTACCGTGTTGGGGAGGTTCTCCATCCACCCCTTTTCTTTTTTGTCAAAAGAATTTGCCTCTCACCTTTGTACCCTTGGTATGTTCCTGTTTGAAATTAGGTATGTGTCAGCCTGGCAATGAACCATTGAAAGAGTTATAAGAGGAGGGCTTACCCGCTTCTCCTGCGCGATCCGATAGCATTCATTACAGATGGGTGTATTGTACAGGATCGTCGTTGATGGGGTTTTCCAGCATCGCGCACACAGATTTGATTCCGTTATCGTGTTGCTAGAGACATTCCTACCACTACCCCTGAGTTTCCGATCATCGTGTGTCCTCTTCTCTCTCTCACTTCCATCTCCGTCCCCGTCTTCGCTGGAGTTACCATCCTCCTCCTCCTCTTCCTCATCGTCTTCCTGATCAGAGTGAATGGAGGTAATGCTTCTGATGGAGCTTAAATCGTCATTGACGTCTACCGCTGCCATCTGCAACATGACTGCTGCTGCGACACTGCTTGCCCCACCCCCGTTCTTGCCAGTCATGATAGAAGCAACATCATCCTTGGATGAAGAATGCACGTTTTCATGACATTTGTGGCAGAGGCCTGTCTCTTCGACAATGCTCTTGGAGTTGCCGAAGCGTCCGCAGTATGAGCATCGACGGGTCGTGGTGTCGTCTTCTTCCGGTTCAGTGTCACTGCAGCTCCACATTTCCTTTTGGCTTTAGGCCGTTCTGAACAATTTTTGAATAGTGGACAGAGTATGAGGCGGAAAATGGGGTAGGATATGATAATATTTGGGCGTGTAGTTGGTTGGTGGAACATGTAGAGTCGGTCTTTTCTTCTTGTGGATTTACCCTGATATGGTAGACTATTCCTGGTCTCCAAAGATTTTTTAAGAAGAGAATAAAATGCCGCATGGGGGAAGAGATGGCTGATATGAGCTTGCAATCGTTGGAGACGGCCCTAAGTTTTGTGACTGCTCGTAGTTGCGGTGGTAATATGAAAGGGGAGATAGATGCAAGCCGGGCCGCAACGCGACGCAAGATGTCTAATTCCGCGAGATATCGTATATGAAAGAAGCCCGTTGTAGGTTTTTTAAATCTGCGTGAAGGGTAAGAGAGAGGGTTTGTCGGAACGCATCTCACTTGTCTTCTGAAAAGAGATGGCAGAAATGTGAGTTGGGAGTTTAATGCTGGTTTGCCACTTCCAAGGTTGTTTGTTGGGTGACGAAAGAAAGGAAGAAAGGAATATGATAAAGGGACTCTATACTTCTTGGTTTTTTCTGATGTGAAAAGAGTTGGGCTTGGAAATTGTTAAGTAGAACAGAGCTTGAGAAATGTATTCAATGATACACAAAAGTACCCATAAAACTTTTTGGACAACACGAGTGAAGCTCCCTTCAGCTTGCATGAGGATGAGAGAGAGGAATGGCGAAAAAGCAATACGGAGTTTTGTTTTGATCGCACCACATGACGGGATGATATCTTAGAATCATACCAGAAACAGTTGCTTTGTTGGATGAAATGGGGGTCATCTGTAGCCAGGCTCGAACAAAACAGTAAAGAAGAGGGGATATATCAATTGAAAGGTGTTAATATCCTCCCACTTCACTTCCTCCAGCCGTCTCCTCGGAAGAATACGAATGTCCTCTCGTCATGCTAACACTACACGATGAGAGGATCAAGCTCGTCAGGGCCAAAGTTCAGTCACTTCCCAAGTGCCCTGGTTACATCCATCACCAGCTTCGCCACAGTCCTCAGCTTTCTCAATTTGCCTGGTTAGAGTCCACCTCATCCGCTTTGCATTTTCCGGAGAAGTCAAATCGACACTTTCAACCTCTTCAGGAACAATGACAACGACACGGAAATTCGCTCTTGCTATAGGATCATGAATGTCGTCCACTCTTTGACCTAGCATGAGCGAATGATTATTTGATGACTCCAACCGTGTTGTTCCAGGTGGCGGGTTTTTGAAGGAGCCTATTCAGCGACGTGGTTTATTATTGATAAGTGGGTGGTTAGCCGCTTACGCATATATGCATTCTCCATTTGCAAAAGGAAAAGAGGAGTCAGAGGGAATGCAAGAATGACAGTGTAGATTGGGCATTTGGGTGAGAGATAGCGTTACTTCTCTTTCATTTTTGTCTGGCAAGCAATGAAGTTTATATAAAGGGATGGATACGTGTTCTTGCGCTTGGTTTTACGGCATGGTGCATGTAGAACAAAACGATTCGTTGTAATTCGTGACGTGACGTTAACGCCAGACAGGAAGAAAAAATAAAGGAAAAGAATAAGAAAGAAATTATATCAAGTTTAAAACATACCTCTCATCGTGGGGCTTAGATTCGCAAAATTAGCTGTAATCTCCTTCTCCCAAGTCCATCTCTTAACATCATCATCTGCGCTGCCCTCTCTGCGTCGTACCCACTGCCGTATATTTTCTCGCGACTTCAATTCACCGGCATCACGGCTGTCGCTTCCAATGATAAATGACCTACCCTTAATCCTCCATTGCGTCATCGCATCTTTGACCCAGAAGACGGCTTCAATGGGGCCTCCGCCTCTATCTCTATTTCCCCAATCGGATCCGTCATAGGAAGACTCCATCTGAGCAACTTTTTCCATTCGGACATCGGTGGTAAATGTCAACAAGTCACTTTCGAATACAGTGGGGTTTAGCCCACCCTCCTTGCTTCCTTTCTCGTCTTCCAGAAGCAGTTTCCTAGCCTCCTCTCGCAAATCAAGTTCTGTCCAAAACCCACGGAATATGCACGTACGCACGCGAGGGTACACGGAACCATTGCTGTCTCTATAGATAGTGGCCAGAGAAAATTCTGGAGACGCGAGCATTGATATGTGGGATTGGAAGAAGGGCCGCCAGGGGCCCCGGGATAAGAGAGAACTGGCATGTTGCTGAAGAACCATGTTTGTACGCTTGTGATGTTTCCTGAGTTCGCAATAGGTAGCGGTGTATGTACATGGAACTGACAGATTCAGAGCCGGGCCAATATGGTGAGAACCGTACGAATATCGCATCCAGGATCAGATCGTCCTTCAGATGGAGAGCTTCGTATTGGTCCAAAAAAAAAGATAGATGTTTAAGAATAGCGTATCTAATGATGTAAATCGCGATTCATGACACCACAGTTCTCGTAGCCATAAAGCATTAAGGTCTCCCCAAACAATGGAACCTCTGGCGGGTGTGTTGGATCACCCGGGCCTAACCTTGGAATGGATTAGTGCAGTAACTAGTTAACTAGTTATTTCAACTCCTCTTGTGATGATCTGATAAGATAAGTTCATCTTCCAGACGACCCGTACAGACGTGCAAACTTCAAACTCCAAACCCAGTAACATATGGTATACGACATGTTTAAAACATCCAAGCAGCTCGATTAATAAAATATAATTATCGATCATTTCAAAATTTATTTATCTACTGAAGATTCGGAATGTCATCTTCTGCATCCTCAAACCCCTTCTCCGCTCTAGGTGAGGTGGACAGAACAACAGGCAAACTGCCGCCTGCCACTCCATTATATATCCTTCGCGGCCATGGATCACCAATACACGCCCTCCATTTTTATAGTATGAATTCAAGACTTATCTCCGGTGATTCAGATGGCTGGGTAGTTGTTTGGAATATGAGTACGAAACGGGCTGTTGCTTCGTGGAAAGCCCATGAATCTGCTGTTCTTGGGGTTGAAGGAGTCGTCTTTCGCTCGAATCAGGATGCAGAGGGGAAAGGAAGTGACAGTGAAAGGTGGATATTTACGTATGTTGTCGCATATACTCCCTTTTCATACTTCTAAGGCTATGCTCTATATTATCCGTTTTGATGCACCTAATGATCCCTCCTACAGACATGGTCGAGATCATAAACTCCGAGTTTGGCGTTTAAATCTCGCCGATGAAGACGGGTTAACTAAAGAATTACCCGTTGATGAATCAAAGGGTGCCCAGTCACGAAGCGAACCTTGGATGCTTCATTCGTTATCCGTAAATGCGTTAAATTTTTGTGCATTTGCGCTCTGTCGCATCTTCTCAGCTAAGATGGTGACCTCAGATACTCAAGGTTTCAATACGCGAGACACTCAACTTCCGGAAGGAGAGAGTTCGAAACAGCCACATGTTTTCTTCCTAGCCGTGCCCAACGCCCTTAATTCCGGCGGGATAGATATATTCCACCTACCATCTGAAAAGCGCGTATCGACCATATCTCCTGATCCATCAATAAACACGGGGATGGTAATGGCCCTCGAGCTGTTCAGAGCACCCCAGGGGAATTTATACCTTATCTCGGGCTATGAAGATGGTCGGGTTATGGTACATAGAGAAAGGTCGCCTGGTGCCGTAGAAAGAGTGAGCTTCGATCAGCCGCTATCTTGGAGCTGGGAAAGGATATATATCAACCATGCGCATTCCCAGCCAGTTCTTTCTATCGCTCTCTCCCCTTTGGAGAAACAAAAGGATCGTTTCTTCTTCTCATCGTCCGCCGATGCAATCCTTGCCAAACATCCCGTCGCTATCACTGTCGCTCCATCAAAGCCATCGATTTCAGCAAAGACGGATACGCCACTGAAACTTTTGAACACAAAGCATGCTGGTCAGCAGGGCCTGCAAACACGAAACGATGGGAAAGTATTTGCTACGGCCGGATGGGATGGTAGAATTCGAGTCTACTCGTGCAAAAGCATGAGGGAGTTGGCCGTTTTGAAGTGGCATAATGAAGGTTGTTATGCCGTTGCGTTTGCAGATATTGGCGACTCGAATAAAAATGATGAAAATAATAATGCTGCTATGGAAAGGAATACCGTCGTAAATACAGATGATACGGGCACGGCGCCTGAAAGTACTCGCGATACAAATACGAAGCCGGAAAGCATGGCGCTTAACCTTGCCCATCCGCTCGGATCGCTGGCAGCAATAAAAGAGCAGCGGAGCAAGAAGGCGCAATTTACACATTGGCTTGCGGCCGGATCGAAAGACGGGAAGATATCACTTTGGGATATTTATTGAATTTTATGCAAGTTTTATTTTTCTTCTATTTTAATCTTTTACGATAAAAAAAAAGGCATTACGGCTCCCTAACGCTAGAAACCGACATTAGTTATTATTTTACGCGATATTAAATTCATTTGCCCCTGCCATATGTTCCTTCATCTTCGCCCGCATTTTACGTGCGGCATCAGAGGTATTCGTGTCCTTGGTGGCCTGGGCACCATCCCTAGCTCCCTTCCTATCAGCCTTGAATTCCTTCTTCGTATCTTCTTTACCGGGTCGAAGGCCAGGAACATTGATCTTAGCGGGTCTATCGCGCAGCGCAAAGCTCTTGGCCAAATGGCCTAAATGGAGATCCTTGATGTTAAACATATCTCGTTCGCTAGCAATATGCGTGGCATAAGCGCGGATATGAGACTGGTAGGCTCGTCTGGCCATCTCGAGGATGGTCGGGTTTTCAAGCGCCCAGCGCTCAATGTCAAGTTGCCACTCTGTTGCCTTCTCCTCCCAGCCCTTACTCGTCGATTCGGTGTTCCCTCCAAAGCCACGCTTCAACGACTCGTTCACATCTATGCAGGAAATTTTAGTGCCGCCGTCTCGATAGCCGCGTTTTAGAATTTCGACGTATTTCTCTTCGTTGCCGGGAAGGAGGAATATGTGGGCTCTGCCGTCGCGTCCTAATCTTGCAGTTCGGCCGATTCGGTGGAGATGGTCATCTGAGCTAAAGGCAGGATCATACTCGACTACAAAATCGACGTTTGGTAGGTCAAGGCCACGAGCTGCGACATCAGTGCAGATCAGAACAGCTGCTTCACCCTGGCGGGAGAAGGCAGAGAGAGTTGAAGTTCTGACATGTTGAGGAAGTGAGCCATGAAGTTTATAGATCGTGACTGGATTAGTAGGGTTCGAGAAGGCTGTTGCTTGCGCAACTGTTCCATGGATGGATGCTGGTTTGGTGGGAAGCAAAGCTTCGGTATTTTTGAGCTCTTTCCCTCCGCTTTTGTTGTCTGAATCTTGCCTGGAGAAAGCTTCGAAGTGGAAGTCCACGGAGTCCGCACAAGAAACGAAAATTATTGCTTTCATAACAGAGCCTTTCCTGGCAAATGTTCGTTTCATCAACGCCGTAAGAGTAACGAGTCGTAGCTTCGCAGCAACCACTGCGTACGATTGTTTAAGTTGTGCAGGGACCGAAAACTCGGAGTTGGTACCAGTATTATTCGTCTTCGTTTCGTCGTCCTCGTCATCCGGGTCAGCTTGGACATGCACAGCGTCTTTGAGACTTATCTCCCCTAGCCGCTGCACATTCATTTTCAAAGTCGCAGAACACAATATTGTAACTCGCTTGGCAGGCAATCCCGAGATTCCCTTTGATTTCTGTCTCTCATCTAACCTTTTCACAATCCCCTGAATCTCCTCCTCAAAGCCCAAATCCATAAGCCGATCCCCCTCATCAAGGACTAGCCACCTGACATTACTAACATCCAACACCTTGGTATTCTCCAAATGATCAGCCAAACGACCAGGCGTAGCCACAAGAATATTCAACCCCTTCCTCAACCTTGCCTTTTCGGATTTTTTCTTCTCCCCACCAATAACCGTGCCTGCAACGATCCAATGCGCACACCGTAACAATTGCTCTAACACAACGGATATTTGTTTGCATAGCTCTCTCGTAGGAGCAAGGATGATAGCAAAAAGTCCCGAATCTCGATGCACAGCAGCGTTATCCGAACCATCGCTCGTCCGCTCAAAAGCCTTCCCGTTGGTGCTTGACAAGTTAATCAGTCGCTGAACTAGAGGAAGCAGATATGCCAATGTTTTTCCCGATCCGGTTTGGGCCTGGATGAACGCATCGCATTCTTCCTTCAACAGCTGCGATATGGCGCTTTTCTGAACGGCCGTCGGAGCCTTAAATTCAAGCTTTGTCATCAGGTGCGCTGCAAGCATCGGGGATAATCCCAAGGATGTGAAGGTATCAATTCCATCGATGAGGGGCGCATTTGAGGGTTTAGAAGGCTCGGCGCCTTCGTCTGTTTTCGGTGGCTCGACGGCAGAAAGAGGCGCGGGGTTGAAGGAGAAAAGGGAGGAGATGATCTCACGCGGTTGATTCTGGTTCTTGCGAGCTTGGTTGCCTTGAGTATTCCCCCTGTTATTGCTGCTGCCGACGTTCGTAGAAGTAGGGGTGTGCCCGCTAACGCGATACGACGACAACGAAGACCGTTTAAAATCGTCATCGACCCTCTGCCGTTTGGCTGGTCGAGGGGATGGTATTTCAACTCTATTCGGGTTCCCTGTTCCATCTTTCCGCCAGGCATGATCCTGGTCTTCGGAGTTGGGAAATTTGGATTTATTTTGACGGTGAAGGGCGATTTTCTTTACTGAAAGGCGATCTTTCCATGTCCCACCTTTGAACTTTTGCTGGGTTTTAATGATACCATCACCCAAATTGAAGTTCAAGAGCATGCCATCATCCGCCATGATGCCAGATAGTAGACGGGGAATGTTCGTCTCCCTTCCTATGATCCTATCCAGGTTTGTGGCTCTGTGTTTTGTCTTTCAGAATTAGATATTGGGTTGAGTTTTTCCGGTAATGTTTGACAAATGAGCAAACACGCCGAGAAGAGATCTGGTTCTGGATTACCGAAGGCCATAAATTCGTACTTTGTAGTGGCATCAAAATGACTCTGTAGCTGTTGAAGAGAATGGATTTTATTAAAATATTCTACAGTAGAATATCTCGATACGCCTTCCCATAAACACTATGTCAGTGTCAGTACGATCCAGGTTTGAACAGCTTAAATTTTCACCAACCACAGCAATCTGATAGAGTATTTTCTCCCATGCACAAGTCCAATCACGACCATACCATACAGCGAGTGGATAAGAACGTAGGGTTATTCAAATAATCTCATTAGATAACTGCCCGAAATTCATTGGTTGATAGATAACATAGATAGTCTATTTCAAAAATAAACCAGCCGAAACAATTCATCCCATTCATATATCCTTCAAAACCGCCATCAGAGAATGATATTGTCAATCAATCTCACAGGGTTATCACCCCCATTCTCCCCGCAATCCTCGCCAGGCTGCGGGCTTTCCAAGGGTAGCATTTTTACAGCGCCGCTTAAGACGGCACCTTTCGAGCCATCTACAACTTGCAATTCTTCGAGTGAATCCACATCCGCGAGCGAAATGTAGTCGAGCTCGAATATTGCCCGCTCCAGAGGTGGCAGCGCTTGTTGTTCACGAGCAATGGACTCCACGAGTCGGTTCGCAGGTCCCAGGATCTCCTCTCGGGCCCGCTTACCTGACAAGTATGCCCTCTCCGCCTCCTTGAGCGCTTTATACAATACAAGTCCGACCTTGCGTCGTCTCGCACCAAGCATCACATTCCGCGAGCTCATGGCCAAACCATCCGCTTCTCGTACTGTAGGCCCTAATTTCACATCAGTCCCGACATGTAGGTCCTTTACCATCCGCTTGATGATGACCGTCTGTTGCACATCCTTTTGGCCAAAATAGACTCGGTCGGGTGTCATGATGTTGAACAGTTTCATGCACACGGTGGCAACTCCTCGGAAAAATACAGGCCGCGAAGCTCCCTCCAGTAGTGTTGCTAAGGGCGTGATTGTAACGAACGAGCCGTATCCATCTAGCTCAGAGGTTGGTGGGAGCGTCGGATACATGACATTGCTCGTCGGGGCAAAAATTGCAGAGATTCGTCCTCGCACCGAACCAGTCCTTGCGAGGCACCCGTCGCCAGACGCTGCACTTGCTAGCTCCTCGTCTAGTTCTTTTAATTTCTGGATGTCTGCCTCCCACGTCCTTGGATATTTGTCCAGGTCCTCGTTCACTCCGAATTGGGTTGGATTAACGAAGATACTAACAAACACGTCCGTGTTCTCGATAGCGGCTTGGCGGATTAGAGACAGATGGCCATCGTGCAGTGCGCCCATAGTAGGGACTAACCCAACGGTTCTCTTGGACAGAAGCAGCTGCTTTCGGTATTGCCGGAGCGCGGGTACATCTCGAAATACCGAAAAGGGCGCCTCTCGGGAGTTAGGAGCGCCATTGTTGTTGTTGGAACGCCATGACGGCGTTACTGTGAGGTGTAAGCCATTGGAACAAAGCAACATAGCAGAAATCTAGAGTTACCCACAGGAAAATCGCCTCAGCCAGCGTGACACCATGGTAGGACTTTGTTGAAGCTTATTGATGTTATATGTTAAAGAATGGCAGCCATAAGCTACAACGGAATGAAACTAGAGAAGAGAGAACAAAATGACATGGAGAGAAAAGAGAGTCTATGAGATATATATCCAGCTTTACATTATGGGGCAATTGAAAGCCCCATTGCTCATATATAATAGGCAATTGCAAACAGCATTGTTGTCCTCTGTAACACTGTTCGCAAATAGTTTGATGTTGTTTAACATCGAGATTGTAGCAAAAAGAGTGCAAATTGCCGAACAATGGTTGGATACGTCATGGTCACGTGCGCACTTTCCGTCCAGTTGGCATCATGTGACCGTATTGCCGAGGTTGGAGTTTGGGATTGTTGAGGATATTAAGGAGCATCATGACGGACCCAGACCAGACGAGGCACGGCGAAAATGAACTAAGGAAAGCTCAACAGTTCGCGTCCCCCGAGGTTGGCCGTACTTGAAGAAGGAGAGATTTGGTGTCTTCGTCGACCTTGCGCGCTGAACTGTTCGATAGTGGCATATTGGCGGGCGCGTCTCTCCTTGATCAAGCCTTTCTCGCGTTACCTAATATCATTTGATAACAACAAGTACAGAGTACAGTCACAGCATCATGTCTTCTCCAAAGGATGCAGGCCATATGGCCCCAGATCTAGAGATCGTCGGAGATCGGGTCACTGTACATCCAACGGGCTTCACCGGTGGCCCAGATGTCAAAGATGGCATCACTGAACGGGAGCTTGTGCGGAACATGGCACGCTTCCGAGAGAACCCCTTTGAGTTCTTGCGCGAAGTCAGCTTGTTTGTGTCAGGAACAGGATGGCGAGCCTATGATAAGATTATTGGCCAGCCAATATTCTATCCTGGTTTCGCAGAGAAAATGAAGTCAAATATCCTGAGTAATCCGTTATTGAAGGCGAAGATTACTGAACTGGCAGAGTTGCGATCGCGAGTGGAAGAAGAACAAGGGTTACTGGAACCCGACAAGTCGAAAAAAGGCAATGACCCTCGATTAAGACGAAAGAACGAGATTGAGGCTAATTTAAGAGAAGTCGTCGACACGATGATGGAAAATATGATTTGCAAAATGGAAGGCAAAAACTTTATACGGGGAGCCTATTATCTTTGTACACAGCTTCTTACGCGAGCATATCATCAAGGTACGTACGTACGTTTTTAAACTGATTTTATCTGAACAAACATAGAAATATCGGGTACTTATGCAGATTATATAGGCATTCATGTTTCTAGTGAAGAAGTTCTCCGTCTGAGGTCGGTCGCGGAAACCGCAGCAAAAAATAAGCAATCTATTGTATTTTTACCTTGCCACAGATCTCATGTAGACTATGTATCCCTGCAATTAATTTGCTACCGTCTTGGAATTGGATTGCCCGTGGTTGTGGCGGGAGATAACTTGAATATATCTTTCCTTGGGAGTTTCTTGCAACATGCAGGTAGGTCTTATCCTTATCACAATTCCGAGCAAACTTTCATCCTATGCAATGGTTTTCCTTGAGGGCTGACAATATGTTCTAGGTGCCATGTGGATCCGTCGAACTTTTGGCGACGACCCCTTGTACCATACACTTGTACAGGCGTATGTTGATACCCTATTAAAGGAAGGGTTTAATTTCGAATGTTTCGTAGAAGGCGGTCGGTCAAGGACGGGAAAGCTCCTACCCCCGAAGTTTGGTATCCTCAGCTTTCTCCTAGATAGCGTTGCTTCCGGTCGAGTCGAAGACGCGATCATCTGCCCAGTGAGCACACAGTACGATAAAGTTATTGAAACTGAGTATGTATATTAACAAACACGAGCGCCTTGAAGATAAACCTATGCTAAGAACTTCTGATCAGATCATATATTAGTGAGCTGCTGGGACAGCCGAAACAAAAAGAAAATTTAGTTGATTTCCTTAATTCTTCGTCAGTCCTGTCACTCAAGCTTGGTAGAGTTGACGTCAGATTCCACGAGCCATGGAGTCTGAAGGCATTTGTCGCGGAGCAGTGCGCTAGAATATACAATCTCCCCAATAACGGCGAAATACAAGTGAAAATGGGAAGTGCGGAAAGAGGTCGTCTCCTCCGAACCCTGGGATATCGCGTGCTCTCAGACATCAATAACGTCTCCGTTGTAATGCCGACGGCACTCGTTGGCACGGTTCTCCTTACGCTCCGGGGGCGTGGTGTTGGTAAAACTGAACTTGTGCGCCGTGTTGATTGGCTCTGCGACCGAGTTCGTGCCCAGGGCGGAAGAGTAGCGCATTTCTACAGAGCCCCGACGGAACAGGTCGTTGATCGAGCCATCGAAGTTCTCGGGCCAAAATTAGTCGGTGCAATTGGCGGGCTTGCTGAACAGACCTTCTACGCGGTGGACCGGTTCCAGCTTTCTTTTTACAGGAATATGACGATTCATCTCTTCATCACAGAGGCATTGGTGTCCGTTGCTATGTATGCCCGTGTAAAGCAAGGGGGTGGCCCGATGAACCAGCGCAGCAGCTATGATGAGCTGGTGACCCAAGTGACCTTCTTGTCCCAGGTAAGACGATGTATTCATATCTTACTCGTTGTGAGTAAATATATTCTCTTCTCAACTAACCTCTTCTCAAGCTTTTCCGAGGAGAATTTATCTTCCCACCAGACGGCTTAGCCCACAATCTCGAGAAGACGCTTAATGGACTAGAACGAGACAATGTAATAAAAATCACAAGAGACCCCTCAGGCATACCGACATATGTCGAGTTAAGCGATGAAGAACGCCAATGCGGCAGAGAAAACTTTGATTTCTACTGCTTCCTTGTCTGGCCTTTTATTGAAGCAAGCTGGCTTGGAGCTGTATCGCTTATGGGACTGACTCCACCCCTCAATAATGGCCCCAAGTCGCCTTGGGTTGATATGAAAAAAGCACAGGACAGCGCTCAACTGGTAAGATATCACCCAAAACCTGCATCTTCCCACCAGTATGTACACAATATTAACCACCAAAAAAAAGTTGGGCAAAACGCTCTACCACCAAGGTGATCTGTCATATTTCGAAGCCGTCAACAAAGAAACCCTTAAAAACGCATATCAGCGATTTGAGGAAGAAAGAATCATCATCGTCACAAGACCGAGGATGAAGGATGTGAAGACAAGCCAAGCGCCCACCATGAGACTAGCTCCCAGCTGGATGCCTGAGCGCGATGCAAAAACAGGCAAACTCCTAGCCCGGGGCAAGCTATGGGACTTTATGTCCCTAATAGCCCAGTCGCGGCGCGAAGGGTATGTAACCGCCCTCGGTTTTTTTTTTTTTTTTTTTTTTTTTTTTTTTTTTTTTTTTTTTTTTTTTTTTTTTTCGCCCCTCCTTTATTTCCGCCCTTTTCTTCCTTTCATTATTTACATAATAAGGTCCCCCGCCCCCGTTGATCGGAGCTGACACTTCCAATCCTTCAGGAAAAACCGACGAGATGGAGCAACCGTATCCTCTCGCGTGCTCACCATGACCGATTCGGTAGGTCGGGAGGTGTTCAAAGTTGCAGCCGCAGCAGAAGAGTCTGCGGAAGAGGTTGACGTGTCTACAAAACAGCGCAGACGGACGCCATTGGGCTCGAGCGCGAAGCTGTGATAACGGAATATATGTTATATAAGGGGTCCCTTGGTGTCTTTATATCAATCCCTATATATATAACCGCTCATCGTGATACCAAGTTTGCTCTTGCTTTTTTATTTGCTTTGGCTAGGTTTGTAATGCACTGCTTTTTTTTAATTTCGCTTCTTTGAGAAAGCTTCAATTCTTGCACTCTACGCGATGAAGCTGCTATATTCTTCTCTCTCTGTTATTTCTTTCGACTTCTTTCCATTTTTTGTTTTATAAATAATTGCCACCGTTGATGCTATTAAGCGGTTCCTTATCCGAACACCCCAGGACAGGTAATTCAACTTGATACTCTCTTAATTAAGAACAAAATTTTTATGATATTCAGAGGTGAATACTGTCATACTTCATTTTCTTCATCTTTGTTCTGAACCTGTTCGTCATTATCTAATATATATATCCATTGCATCTCTCCTCTCTATTCTTCCTTCCACATCCAGATAGTATATTTGAATACCAGACGATACATTATAAAACACCATCCCAGCCAAAAGTCTGGCCAAAAGCGATATGGCCAATACGAGAGTCGTACCAATTATCCCTGTCGATCCAAGGCTGGTTTTTGATGACAAGGGATGGTGCAGTGCATTGTGGTAGGTCTCTGATTGGCTGTATCAACCCCAACCGGCCCCACGAGCATACGCGTCATTGGCGAGCTAAGACTTTCTTGTTCTAGACACAGTTTAGCGGAAGGGAAGGGTTCAACCAAAAACAGTAACTGACGAAGAAGAACTCAATCCATAATAGGCATGGCTCGGTAACTGTATTTCTACTGAATTAGCCTACCTTACCTACGGGGGATGCTGCATACCGTACGGAGTATTGCGTACTGGTAAGAAACATGGGGACGGCAGATATTTCTTGGCTTTTGTTTTTAACTTTTTCCCTTTTGGGTATTATTCTCTTCGGCCACCCACCCACCACCTAGGCACTCTTAATCATAATCCTCAGCCTCATCTGGTGGCTATTTTGGTTATCCTTTTTGATCCTCTCCTTTCATCCGTCTCTTCATCTCCATTTTTCATCTTCTTGCCCTTCTACTACTACGCTTGTTAATATCCAGCTGCATTGGCTAGTTTAACCGTCGAATTATCCCTCCGGCCGCCACTTCATTTCATTCATCCCTCCGTTCCGAAACTTTGCGAACAGCGCAACGCGTATTATTTCAATAATAATAAAAAAGAGGGAAATGCAACAACCCTTCTTCTTCCTCTCCTCCGCCTAGTCTGTAATCTTACTGCGACTCTTTGGAGCGATGCATTCGAGATAGACCAGAAAAAAGGGATAATAAAGGATTAGACTACTAGATTTATACGGGAAGAAGGAAGTTTCCAGATGGGGATATGTATGGACGCACCCTCGCCTCTCTTTGCCTCGAAAGGCCGAGTCTATATTCCTGTACGGCAATGCATTTAGCTAACAACGATATCTTTGTATAGGGAGATATGCCGTCGTCTTGGATGCTGGTTCATCTGTGAGTTGCTTGCGTATAATATCCACTCTCCATTTTACTAACTCGTAAAATTTCAGGGGACTCGCGCACATGTCTACAGATGGCCCGATAGCGTCAGCGCACGAAAGTCGGCGTCCTCGAAACAGCTGGCGTCGCTGCCCGAACTCCTCACTAAGGATAAATGGACCAAGAAGATACATCCTGGTACGCAGCGGATTCTGAAAGTCGAGTCAATTCGCCGCTCAGGAACAACAGCTAACTGAAACTAATTAACAGGCATTTCAACATTCTCCAATAAACCCGAAACCGTCGGCCTCGAACACCTCAGGCCCCTCCTCGACCATGTCCAAGAAGTTATCCCCGAAGAAGAGATATCCGATACCCCAATCTTCCTCCTCGCAACCGCTGGCATGCGTCTACTTCCAAGCCAGAAGCAAAGAGCCATTCTCGATAATGTATGCGCCTATATCCGCAGTAGTACCGATTTCCTGATCCCCGATTGTAGGCAACATGTACAAGTTATCGAAGGCGACACAGAGGGGCTTTATGGGTGGATTGCAACAAACTATTTAATGGGTGGCTTTAACGATCGCCAGTCTCACAATCATGGAAAGGGCCATCATACGTACGGGTTTTTGGATATGGGTGGAGCCTCGGCGCAGATCGCGTTTGCCCCAAATGCGACGGAGGCGGAGAAGCATGCGAACGACCTAACGCTACTGCGCCTGCGGACCCTCAACGGCTTGCCTATGGAATACAAGGTGTTTGTCACGTCGTGGTTAGGCTTTGGTGCACGTGAAGCTAGGAGTCGATATGTGAAGGCGCTGTTGGAATCAACTGCCAATGACAAGAACAGAGCTCGACCGGATCCTTGTTTGCATTCCGGCCTCCGAACGACCCATGACGGAACCATTCTACCTCCCACCGGTCCCGTGTCCGGCATGGAGCCGTATCTTGTTGGAACGGGTAAATTCGAAGAGTGCTATCGTAATACATACCCGTTGCTAGAGAAGGATGCGCCCTGCCCCGATGAGCCGTGTCTTCTACATGGCGTCCACGTACCCGCAATTGATTTCGACGTCAACCATTTCATCGGCGTAAGTGAATACTGGCATACGACACATGAGATTTTCGAAATGGGCCATAAGGATAAATCGTACGACTTCACCACGTACCTCCAGCGCGTCCAAGAATTCTGCTCACAGCCGTGGGAGGCTATTGAGCAAGGCGTTAAGAGCAAGCAGTGGGGGAAAAAGGTCGATCAGGAAACCGCCTTTGCGGTTTGTTTCAAAGCTTCATGGCTAATAAGTATTTTACATGATGGGATCGGCATTCCCCGCGTTGACATTGAATCAGGAGGACACAATAGTACAGTGGAGTCGAACGTAAAGGGCTACCTAGACGCCTTCCAGGCTGTAAACAAGATCGACTCGACTGAAGTGAGCTGGACGCTCGGGAAAGCCGTGCTATACGCTTCGTCACAGGTGCCACCACTTCCCAACGGCCTCCCTGTGGGCTTCGGAAGCAACCCCCCAGCTGGAAGCAAGAATCGCATCCCAGACGATTTCCAGCGACCGGGAGCTCCATACCTTCTGCCTAGTCCGCCGTCACCATCCCCAACTCACAATGAGACTGCCTCCCAGCCGCATGCGTCTAGTGTCGCATCACCGCACTGGCACGACACGCTTTTTACTGGCCATTCTCCGCGGCGGGTCCCAGGTCTTTTCCTCTTCTTAATAATAGTTGTTATAGCAATCTTTTTCCTCTGCGGCCGCGAGCGCCGAACACGACTCTACCGAAAATATATCCGGCGAACAAGTCACGGTTCCTATCATCATCAGAATAACAATTACTACCGACGAGGCAACGGCTTCTCGTCTAAGATCTTCAATACGCTTCCCCGCATCTTCTCGTCCCCGTCCCTAAAACGCACCAATTCCTTCTCCGCCTCCTACGACGACCTTCTCGAAGCCGGCGCGCGCGATTTCGAGCCTAGCCCTAGCTCCTCTCCTACAGACGATGAGACCATGTCCATGTCCATGTCCATCCCTCCAATAATCCCCAACACCCCCTTCACCCCAACGTTCACAAACACCTACAACGACGATAATAATACAAACAACATCCTCGTCCGGACGAAATCGACTAATAGCATGTATCACCACCATCACCACCATAACAACAATCACAACGACCCCGGCACAACCAGCGGCATGGGCATCTCTCTCGGTAGTCCCCCGGGCCTCGATGCTACTACTACCATCAGTGCGCTAGGTAACATGGATCGTCATGGGTTAGCGGTGCGGACGGAGGGTCGAGATCGTCTCGCACCGTTGGCACTGGGGCCGACGACCAATGGCCGCCGGTCGAGGGCAACGAGTCCCGTGCGACATCATTAAAGGGGTAGATTGTTTTTTCGGATGATGATGATGATGATGACAATTGATGATTTGCGTTTATTTACTTTCTTTTTTTCGAGAGAAACCTCGGTTTCATGCTGCATTTGCTTCTCGTCTTTTCTTGAGCATTGTTTTAATACTCATAGTGACACCGCGTTCCGTTGTGGGTTTTTTTGTCACTTCTATTCTTTTCTCTTTTTTTTTCTTCCGCTTTAGAAGCTGTGTTATTTTGGTGTGACCAACCTTTTGGAGGAGAGGTCCCGTTATCCTTTTTTTCCCTCTGATTCGCTTCCTAAAATCACTGTAATACACATGTGCGACGTTGATTGTTGGGATTATAACACGGTCCCACCATCCTCATTTGCTTTGTACCTTTTTTTTTTTTTTTTTTTTTTTTTTTTTTGGAGCGTGCATGTCCGGTTTTCCTAGCCACAGGTTTTTTTGACGGACGTGAATTTCGCATGTAACTATATATTTTCAGCAGGTGTTGTGTTACCTGTAGGCTCAGGGGCTACTGATCCGGACTGGACTTGATAGGAGTTAAATCCTCCGCTCACCCATCCAGTCAATCCGTCTTTGTCTTTTTCCTTTCCAAAGGCCCCTTCTTGAATTTCTTTTTCTTATTTATTCAAAACTCCACGTGTATACGTACACTGTTAGTTTTTTAGCCCATTCTTAGCCCTTGTATTCATATAATATACATACATTCCTAAAATTTTCTTCCGCTTCTTCTAATCTGTATTATTGCGAACTCCCCGTCAATTGAACTTGGGACTTGAGCATATATGGGACGAATACGCCTGGGAAGAACTCACAACTGTTGTAATTAGTAGACCTATCTCTAAATGGAATGTATTACAGTAACATCTCCATCTCCAAAATATCCAGGCGTATGGGTCCAAAAAGGATATACATCACGTGATATGGATAGCACAAGCTCGGGGCCAGCCCCAAATTTCTAAAGGGAAATTTTGAACTTCTCGCGCCAGCTCTTCAGCATTAACTCCTCCAATTCAACCAAGACAGACCATTCTCAAACGATCGCAAACCTCCAACACCCACCCAATCCCCCTTCTGATAATCACACCTAGGGAAATACCGTCGCCTTACTCCCCCCCTCTTCTCCCCGAAAGCAGTTTTCAAATAAATATCCTATCTTATATTTCCAACAATGCGACTCACAGTAGAGTTGATCCAGAACTCCCTCTCCTACCTCAACCCTCTCAAAGAGCGAGAGCTCGATCTTCGAGGTGCGTATTGAAAAGAACAGATACTACTACTGCTGCACGTGTCACACACTTGGTAATGAGCTCAATTGATATCGTATTTGCTTCCTTTCTTCGGGATGGGGTGTATATATTAGGCCATAAAATTCCCGCTATTGAGAACATGGGTGCTGCGAAGGTAAGTGAGGTCAATCATGTCTACGGATGCGTAACAACGAACCCATGATGTTTCCCTCGATTGTTCAGTTCTTTTCTCTTCTGCATTCCGTCAAAAGTTGCATTTCCAATCTAATCTAAGGCGCAGGACCATGACGCCATCGATTTCACCGACAACGATATCTCCTCGATCTCCAATTTCCCTTTCTCCCCGCGCCTCCGAACCTTGCTTCTCGCCCGCAATCGTGTCTCGCAAATCCACCCGTCAATAGCATCGTCGATCCCAAATCTAACCACTCTAATCCTTACTGCGAATAACATCGCAGAGCTTGCGGATCTGGAGCCATTAAAGGTTTTAACGAAATTGACACATGTATCATTGTTGGAGAATCCTGTGACGAGGAAGGAGGTTAGTTGCCTTCTATACAATACCCTCTTATCTTGGTTGTGGTTGGTGGAAGGGAAAGAGATTCGTGTTGCTCCTGAGTCTTTGTTTCAGAGAGTCCTTGTATATGCCTGAATTCTGTTTATTATATTTAGCTAATATCCACATCTTAAATTCCCGCGAGGAAAATATATAGCACTACCGCCTCTGGGTAATCTTCTTATTACCCACAGTACGCTTCCTCGATTACCAAAGAGTCAAGGACGTAGAACGACACCGCGCCGCTGAGCTTTTCGGCACCCCTTCAAACCCCACGCCACTCACCTCCAAGATCATGGGCATAAAATCCCGCACTTTTGACGTCTCAGCATCTACGTTCGGAACCACGACACGTGACGCATCGTCACAACAAGCCGGTGAAAGGCCAATTCGTGTTAAACTCACGGAGAAGGAACGGAAACGAGTGGAGAAAATGATCCGGGAAGCGAAGAGTTTACAGGAAATCACGAAATTGGAACGAGAGTTGAATGAGGGGAGGATACCCGGGGGTGCGCTGGGAGATGGCGATGACCAAGAAAAGGATAATGACACTGAGATGCAAATGTAATTTGTGGGACGACAGTTTTTAATGATACAACAAAATTTGACAACTGTGGGGTTTTCCCTGTTTCAACAAGTCTTCATTTTTCATTCCCCCCCACCCCCTCCTGTTCCAAAAGGAAGAATACAAAATATACTGAGCGTTTACGGAAAGATTAGGGGCTACGGCTTGCTTCAAGGTTGTCATCTCATCTGCATGCTACACAACGCTTTCCTTCTATAGTCTCAATATCTTCGTTCTTATCAAATCGATAAAGACAAGGGATATCATTTCTTACTTCTGGGATTGGGCGTGAGGTAGTGAGGCATTGTTTCATTATTTTGCTATTTACATCTTTTTTTCTATGGTTGCTCTTCTTTCGTGGTAACTTTCTCCAGGCCTCGACCCTCCTCTATTTCGGCAAATATGATCAGAACTCACAGCATGAACCCCCGCCCACCCCCTCCAAAAGAAGAAAAAAAAAAAAAGAAAAAAAAGAAGGCTAAAAAATCACACCCATCAAACACAATATCAAGTATTTTCATATGATTTCCTCCAAAGAGGCGTGAAGGCCGCAGCCTAATATATCCCGAAGCAATCAACAAGCAAAACCAAGTCAACAAACCCACTCACTTACTCACTACTACCCTCCTCTGCTGTCCCACATTCTATCCTCATCATTCCCATCCCCACCATCCTATACAAGCTTTGCTCCCACCCTCAGAATATGCATCCGTTACTCCTTGCCACCCTGTCAACCACCAAATTTCCCCTCCCTTCCCCCCTCCCAACCCTAACATACCAGCACATCATCCCCAGATGCTGAGCCTCCATCTCAATATCCTCGACGGGGCGGACAAGCTGTATAAACCCGCTCTGGTCTAGTTCATACAGCGCCTCCTTCAGCCACACGCGGCACGAGATCTCCTCGCCAAAGCGCTGGGAATAGGGGACGATAGGGATCGTGGGCAGGAGGGCATGGAAGTCCAGCTGGAGCAGCGGTTCTATGTTGGAGATTTTCAGGGCGCAGAGCGGGTTGTGTCTGTGTGTGAAGGAGGTTAGGAGGGTGGTTTTGTAGGCCCAGAGCTTGTCATTGGAAGGGTTTGGGTTTGTGAGTTCGAAGAGGGTGCCGGTGGGGTTTGTTGTTGGTGGTTCTCCTGCGTTGGCTTCTTGTGGACCTTCTATTGTAATTGTAGTGGTAGCTGTGCCTGTTGTTGACGGTGTCGTTTCTGCTGTTTCTGCGGTTGTTGCCGTCTGATAGCCAGCGGTGAGGAATAAGCCCCAGTGAAATCGGTACGTTTCGCCGCGGCCGAAGAGGAGGATGTAGAGGGAGTATGGTTCTAGAATGAGCGGGTCGGCGGGAGTGGTCATTCTCTTTTCTCCCCCCGTTATTTTTAAATTCCCTTTTTCGGTTCCCTCTTGTGGTTATCTTCTTTTTTCGGATGGTTATAGATGTGAAAAGAATAAATTTTATTTAAAACCAAATGGCAATGAACGAAACGAAATGAACCAATGAATTGAATGAATTTGCTTTCCCTCTTATGGATTCAGACTCGTCCAACGTTGTTTTTTTTTTATAAAAAAAAGAAAAATAATAATAATAGAAAGAAAGAGAAAAAGAAAAAGCTATTCTTTGAAGCAAGAGAGAGAAAAAAGAAATTGGGGGAATTTGAGGATTTTGGGGCGGTCGTGCCGGAGATATTCAATAGTTCATCGACAACGGGTCCTTTGGAAAGATGAAGGGGAGAGGTTTACATCCATATTTCGATTTTTAATTTGTCCTTCTTTCCTGGGTTCTTCCGATTCATCATACACAAGAGGTACGGCGGGGGAAGATGTGATGCGGTAGGGGAGAGGAGAGGGGGAGGGGAGGAGAGGAGGGAGAGAGAGAGAGAGAGACAGAGCCGGATTCTTCCTCGCGCAAATGCCCAACGTCCAACATAGCGGGGTAACTTAACCCTCACGAGGTTTGGCGAAGAGAAATAGGCGCCCTTTTTATTCTTTATTAGGGGGGAAAAAGCGCCAATCGTAGATCGTTCGTCCCACAATTTGCGGCGGCTAACTCGCTACTCGGGAAAAATGAAAAGCAGTAATTTCTATACGTTTGGACATCAAGGTAATGGATACTTTGCTATTCTTAGAGGGCTTGGGAGGCAAAGGAAACGAACTAATGTCCAATCAGTCATCAAATCAAAGGATGCAAAGAGCAGGGAAGGTGTTTATGCATATATGTCTGCATGAAGTTATGCAATAATATTCATAGTTAGTGAACAATTTTATTTTGGGAATGGAGGGCGATGGCTGAGGGACATTGGTATCTGCTAAGATTGCTAAGTGTTTTAGTACAAATGCTATATCTAAATGACACAAGAAAACGTACAAACGTATGATATGATGATGATATGGCATGTGAAATATCCAAGATCGTGTACACTTTGATACTATATGAAGATTTGAAGAAATGAGAAAAGTTAACTTGGAATATGATAGAGAAGAGCGTGTGTAAGCTGTATATACATTATACCATCCAAAAAGCAAATCTCTCTTTAATAATAAGAATGGTGAAATACTGATAATACACAATCAAATGAACACTTCCAAATCCCCACATGGAGAAAACGGAATCATTCGCCGATTCTGAACAAAAAATAAAGGTAAGAGAACGTAAAAGAAAAACAAATCAATTGGTATTTGGTATCTCAAATCCACATTTTTTGCACGAAACCCCAATGATAATAGCCGTAAATAATAGTAATCACAGAAAATGCCAAAAGAATATCACGATGGGCAAAAGAAGCCAAAATGGAAACAATAAAAATATTATATATATCATATATATATATATATATCAGTAAGATTCGTAATGCTGATAACCCCCCAGATGATTGTGATCATGGGGCGCAACGTAGTGGGCCTGGTACGGATGGTTCTCGTATGAAAAATCCGCAGTAGCCATAAGAGGGTTCACGATGCCCTGTGGCATCCGTTGGCGGGGCGGAGTGGTAGTTGGACCGCGCCCTCCACTTGCGTTGGGATTATGCGGGCCGGATTTCAGAAGTGATGACGAGAGTAATGATGGCGCGGACGAGCCTGGTGCTGTGGAAGCGGAAGCTTGCAGCTGTCGCGGGGAGGAGTTATTATGATTATTATTATGATTGTTGGCGTTGTTGTTATTGTTATTATTGTTATTATGACTCCATCCCCACTTCTCCATAAGTTCAGTGCGCAAGAAGGCCACCTGCCAACCCGTCTCTTTGATGATTTTGTCGATGATTTGTAGGACTTCTTCCTGTGCTTGTCGGTTTGTCAAGCATTCTGCGGCAATGGCAAGGCAGCGGAGGGAAACGCTGGCGACGCCTCTGTTATTGTTTTGAAGTAAGTGGACTGTTGTCGTAGATATATATATATTGGATCGATTAAAGTAAAGAATCCGAAGTGTAAGCGTACCTGTCTTTCACATGCGCCACGATTCCGCAAATATCATGCGCGTGGCTCTGCTGCATCGCCATCATATTCTCGCTGTACTCGGATTCCGTGGGGTGGATTTTCGCAAGCAGACAGCAGGCTGTGTGGTAAAACAGCCGACCTACGACGGCAGTGCGTTTAATAAGCCTGGAAAGGGAGGGAATAGTCAGTATAAAAAGACGTAATTCAACAGAATTGGCTAATGCACGCGAGTCGTAGACGGTTTTATAAACTAACCAAACCTCCGGGAACGACGACTTGGAGCTTGTCTGCCAAGGCTGTAAGTAACCAAGCGGCATCATTGAGCGCGGTACGCATCTCGCCCACTCGTCACACCACCCCCTATACGTATTCCATTCCTGGATCCGCTGGTTCAGTCGCAAATCATGCGCGGCTCGATCTGGGTCCTGGAAATGCGGAATCGTTGATCTAAAATTGGCGATTTTCGCACATATGTACACCATCCGATGGGTCCACAGCTCTTCATCGCCCGTGATAGCATTCTGCGACGCGGTCATGTTCATATCTATATCCCAGGTATCCGGATCCCAGGCCATTCTCCAGTTGAAATGGAGACAGCTCAATAACTCCATGCCAACATTAAGCCAGAAGCAAGCGCTTCCTATCCCAACACTTTTGGCATCCCAGCGGCACTCCTTAATGAGGGCCCGGGCGCCCGCGATATGGTTCATCCGCTGCATCGCCTTTTCACACATTATTTCGTAAACGTTAAGAATTACCGCTGTCGTGGCACATAAGACTGTATCGCGATTGGGGTTTTGCAAACAGGTAAGGAGATCACGCGTAGAAGTGTTGTAATAATACAGAGCCTTGTCTTCGCCGTATGATGGATTAACCAAAAACAGGTGCCGTGCGCCGCATGCCATAAACGCATTCAAAAGCATAGGTTCGTTAAGAGCATGGTATGGTAGGATATGAGAAAACTAGGTAGATATATTAGCGACGTCTTAATCAGCGTTGTGGAGGCGAATGACAGGGAGGGGGAGATGTTTACATGTTTTTTCGAGTCCATCGAGTCCATCCATAGCCCAACTTCCTCTACGAAAACTTGCATGAGTAGAACTTCCTCTGCACTCTCCAGACAGTGTTTGACATTTCCGGGAGGTCCTAGATTAGATTTCAGAGAATTGAATGGAGAATGTGTTAGAGGGTGGTTAGAAAATGTTGGGTTAGAGTGGTGGTCTGTTTGAGGGGTATGTTGGAAAATGGGCTCAGTCATTTCCGGTTGTTGCGACTCGGGATAGTTAGGAAGCAGAGGAGCAGCATGCGAAAGGCTCTGATGCGAAAGGGATGGTGCTCCCATGATATCAGGGAAATTGTAGGCGGACGGGTGAGGCACTGGTTTTCGAGAGGCAGAGGGGCCATCTTTCCTTAGGCGGGGATACCGCTCAAAACCCCCCCGATATTCCGAAGCAATCTCACGAGATTCGTCGTGAAAGTTAACCTGCCAGTCATGCGTGAATGGCGCTGCAAATGGTGGTGCTGCGACATGAGTGTCAATAAAGTTCAGTCGCACGCCACGCTTACACTGTCGGTCCGACTTTTGGCAGTTTTGACATCGAGGAAGCGTCTCATCGCATTTGAGATGTCGTTCTCTACACGTCAGACATCCCGTCCGTACACGTTTGGGTTTTTGCGTATTCATCTGGCCTGAGGCATTCGCAGCCCTTGTCGCAGCGTTACCCGGACCAGAACTCGTGCTGTCTCCACCGCAGACATTCTTCGGTTTTTGTTGCCGCGGTTGGGTATTGAAATTCGTAGCTGCTTTCGCAGCTATCCGGTAAGTGTCGCCATTTACAGGATAATCCCCCTCAGCCGCTGTAGCGGCAGGCGCAGCCAAGTTCAGAGGAATTTCGAATTCTGGTTGCGCGAGGACGTTTCCATCAACTGTTGATGCCATCGGATTGGTATATAACCAGACAATGAATCTGAATATTCCCAGGAAATGGTATCCGTTATAGTGCCTGGAGCGCGGCCGGGCGCTCTAAAACCCGTGCCTTTTCAAGACCTCATGTGGGCACTGTATCGGGGCAACTGAATATACCAGCAATAGGGGAGTGAGTATTGGCGGGTCCTGTTTTCTACAGCACTTAGGAATAGCAGGAATGGTCGAACGGGGAGGCGGCGTCGAGGTTTATCAGCCTTAAAAACTATCGATCCTCGTTAATGAGTCGTTATAGGAATTGCAACCGGGAAGGTGAGGTTAGGGCGGAGCGGAGAAGGTGCCGGCCCGCGGGACAGTCGCGAGAATGAGCGTAGGGGGGTTAGATCGAGAGAAGGCGAGGAATTGCAGCAATTATGTACCAATATTTACCTATCAAATGAATATCTGTTAGCACCTATGAGAGGTTTAGAAATATAAAAAACAAGGTGAAGTCATCAGCACCGGCACCGAGGTTCGGCGGATCGGAGCAATCGGGTTCGTTGTACGTGGAAGAAAAGTAATTACTCGCCTAGATGGTAGGATAGCTGCTGCGGAGATGATACATGGAGCTATACATCAGAAGCTCATATATTCTGTAGGTTTGCGATTGTTGTTGTTTGGCCGGTCGGCTTGTTCGTTGTTGTAGGGGCTTAAATAAACGATAAACGGTGGGAGGTGGAGGGGTTGAGCGCTGTGATCGTCACCCGCCGCTGGGTTTGGGCGGAGCTGCAGGAACTGCAGGAACGAACGGAACAGCGATCTCTCCCTCCCCCCCTTGTCTGGCCGCGAGGCCACAATTAGTGCAATACCATTTTAGTGAAACAACTCAGCTGTTTAACTGCACGTGCCTTCCCTTAGTTACCCTCATCACTTCTGCGGCCGCCGCTGTGGCAACCTAGTTACCTAGATCACATGCCCCACTATTTTATCCATACCGGAAAAGCTAAGGGTTAACTATAACTATTACACGACCGGATTATGGTTGTTCCACCATTTCAATCAGCAACAACATTGTTATTAATATTATTATTATTCTGTTGGTGATTACTACACCTACTCTAGTCACGTGCCACCAAAACCCTATTTAGTGTAACTCGCGTAGATAGATTACATATAACATAATAATGTTATTCTTTAAAAGGTTATAAAGCTCTTATTAAGCTAATGAAAACTGCTGAAATAACATACTAACTATATCTTCATATATTATTACATGTGTCTAAATATCTTTTATAATTAATTAAACTTATAATGAATCTAAGATCAGATGAAAAGTCTGACTTAATAAAAGAATATATATCTTTAAGATGAAGAAATGAGAAAATATCAGAGTAGTAAATATAAGATTATAAATTACTATTAATATTAATAATAAATCAGAAGATAGCTCTTAGAGTATTTAAATTAGATAAAATTATTATAAAAAAACAGTCTGATAAGTTTAATAATAAATATAAAGACTTAGTTAAAGATATCTGTAAGATATTAAATAATATAAGAGACTTAAGTAACTGAAATAATAATAGCTTAGTAAGTAAGAAAACTTATATAAGACTAGAAATTACAAGATATCAGTATAAGATTAAGTGAATAAAGATCAGTAGAAATAACTCTATAGATAATAAAATAAAAGCAGATTTAATAGAATATCTTTAATAGAAAAAGAAGATATCTATTATAATAAAAGTTTTCAAAGAATTTAGAAGCTAAGTAAGACTTATTAAAACATTAATAGTTCTTACTAAATTTATTAATTACTTAATATAAAAAGAGAAAATTCTCTTAACTGCAGAACAGTCTGAAACTAATAATATTTTTAAAGATAATAATTTTAATAAGAATACTACTATAAATATATAATATTTCTGAAAAGAATATAATTTTTAATTATATAATTATATATAATCTGTAATTATCTTACAGATTAAGACTTATTTCACTATACTTAAGAAGTTTAAATTATCAGCTTATACTTTATAAACTATTATAAAGAATAACTTTTCTAAGAGATCTGCTATATACAGAACTTATTTATTTAAAGAGCTTATTAAAATAATTTTTAAAAGTAAAGAATATAACAGAGCTTTTATTAAATAATAAATTATTATAAGAACTGACTATATATATCTAGAATATAAGATCTCAAATATTATATTTTTCAACAGACTGCTTATAGAAGTTAACAGAGATTAAGTCTTATTTATAAGAAATTGAATGAATTAAATTGACAAGAATAATATTCAACTCTTAGAGAATGATTTTATAAGTTTATACTGTGATATTCTTTTACAGCTCTCTGCTATTATAACGGGCTGCGTCTGATCAATTATATAGACTATTCTGTTATACTTCATAGATTTCTGCTAAAAGCTCTGATTCTTGATCACTGATTCTTAGCTGAAAACCTACAGAATTTCTATTCTTTCACTCTGAAGCTTCATCATATACACATATAAATATTTACTTCAATTGCTGATTTCTGCACTTTCTCTTTCTTTTCCTTTTCTAATGTTTTTCACTTTGTTATATAAGACTTATATATTATACTGATCTATTCAGTATAGACTTCTTATACTTAAAAAACATTCATCATCTTCTTATTAGAAATAATTACTTATTAAAAAGATATTCAAACACATAACAATATATAAGAAATAGAAAAATAATCAATCAGTTAAGCAGATACTGAGTTCACAGATAAAAGCTTACTCATCAGTCACTCTGACTCTGTAATAAAATCTTATAAAGAGAATATCAGTGAAAGATCTGAGAGTTCTAATACTCTAGATATATAAGATATTTATACAATTATACTTCTTTAGATTTCACAGATATTATATATTCAATAAACAACATGTCTACTGATAATATAAGAGAACTCTTAAATATAAGTATAGATGCAGTGTTACAATAACTCTGAGTAATATTGAAATTATAACAGTAATAGATAGCTGATATACATGTGACTTAACAACAATATTAATATAAGAAAATTTAATAATTATCTTAACTAAAAACCTCTGTATAAGTAATTTCAATATTAATTAAATCAGATATAAATATATAAGTACTGAAGAAATATTTAAATACTTCTATATATTTTAATACTTCTGATCTCACTCTCTATTCATTATAAAGATTAGAAATACTTATGAAACTAAGTGTAGATAAAGATATCATTAATTCATTAACTAATTAAGATTAGTATATCAATAATCAATCAAAGAATTGTGTAAGACAGAAGTTTTATTCATGAATAAAAGCATGTGAATCAGTATTACATATATCTGATAATATTATCAATCATCTTAATATTCTGTTCTGAGACACTGCTATATAACAGAAGATATTAGATTGATTATAAAGTACTTAATAAAGAAATACTTCTCTTACAACATTTATTCCTGATTTCAATATCAAGATTCTAGAAGCAGATGATCAATCTTGAGAGAATAGAATGAAGATTAACATACTTAAGAAAACACTAACTTTTGAACTTCTACAGACTCTTATAAGTATAGATAAAGATCAGACTTATGAAGATTTCTGTATACAACTCTGAACATTAAATAACTATCTCATCAAGCTTAAGAGTATACAGAACAGCAGTAAAAGATATTATATCTCAGTCACTCATATATCTGCACTGAAGAATAACAATGCAGATGCTATGAATTAAGTGAACTCAAATATCTATATATAAACAAGAATTTTCACTGTTTAAACAGGCTTCTGAGTCTCTGAGATCACTCTCAAAGAAGTCACTAATTGATATTAATAAGAGATATATATCAATTGTAACTGATCAGAACATATCACTTTCAACTACTAATCAGCCTACATATCTTCTCACTTAAGAGAAAGATTAGTATCTTTTTATTCAAAGAATGAATCAGTGTCTATTCATATTAATCACATTGCATTGAAGAAAGATTCAGAAGACAACTATGAAGATATTTCAATGAAATAGAGAAAAGATTAACTTCTGTTCAAATTCACAAACAGAAGCTTAAAGAGGTTAGATAATAATAATTTAAAGAGAAAATAACAATGAATACAATTTTTATATCTACTGTGATTAATAATATGTATAATATAAAAGTCATGATAGACAGCAGTCTATGTTATTATATAATGATTAAATCTTCAGTTATAAGATATTATAATCTTCAGTATATCTTCTTATTAAAATCTCAACTTCTTACAGAATTTGATGATCTTAAAGATGTTTGCATTCATTATATAATAAAGCTAAACATAGATGTTAAGAGATATCAATATAAAGAAGTTATTATTATTATTATTATTATTCTTCAATTATAGATGTATGCAGTCAGAGACTATAACATCTACCTGAGAATCTTTAGTTCTCAGAGTTTTTTCTATATCTATAGAGTCAACTATTATATATTTATCAATTTCAAATATACAAAATCAGAAAATTTCAGCTCAGAATATAAAAACTGTTTATAAATTACAGTATTTCAACACCTTCTGATAGTTTGAAATCATTTGAAAATATTATGATGAAAGAAAAGAGAACATAGTCTTAAAGATAGACACATTAAATAGATAGAGAAAAGAACAGAAGAAAACAAGTACAGTAAAGAGAGCTACAGAACAAGATCTCTGCAGTTTACACCTTAAGCTATATACATATTTTAACACTCTATATAACTGATCACTGCCTCTGTTCTCTCAGGCCTGCTTCAGGAATTATCATTCTTCTTAAAGAGCTGCTGCTCAGCTAGCTTCTGTAACTAGCTTATTCATAAGTGAGATTCTCACTAAGAATAACATCAGAGCTACTCAATTCTAGTTAAGTCTCTAATCTTTCAGCTGTCAATCTTGGCATTTCAGCCTATCAATTGGCTGTCACAGTCTTGCTTACACTAACCACCTATTAAGGGTGCCTAGGCCTTGTCTCACCTAGGTTCTTGCTAGGCTCAGAGTGTTCTAATTGAATAGTTTTTAAATCTCATTCCCTGGAAGTGAGTGCCTAGAGTGAGAGGGATGAGGCCTGGCCAGTTAAGCTTGATAATGATTCACTATTCTGTGAACACTCTAGACCTCAATCACTCTAGTACTGATCTAACTTGAAGCATCTGAGAAGCTGTTAACTCTAAGATCAGTGAGAATTAGCACCTGGGGATCTCTGAGATGAACATCTTAAGCTTGATGATGATTTGCTATAGTGCATCTGAGGGCCTCTGATACTGTTTTATGACTTAACAGTGAAAGCTGTGGTTAAGATGGCTCTTGCAGGGTTCGAACCTGCCCTCTCTTGGCATTCATTCCCCGGAGGGAAGGCCGCTAATTGAGGCTCCATGATAGCGTAGTTAACCACTACGCCACCGGGTCAATATAAAGAAGTCTATGCATATGAAGTTAATAATCTTGATTATAATCTTATATTAGAACTTGTCTGACTATCTGAATAAGACATCTTATTGAATACTTAAAACAGAAGCTTAATATTTTCTAATAATAATAGAATTCATGAAGATAATATTTACAAGACTATAAATCTGACACAGATCTCTGTCAATGCTTATGAAATACTCTGAAAAAGAAGTTACTGACAGAATCACTGATAAGATCATTGATAGCAGAATCATGTAATAATCTACTCTATCAGTCTGACTAATATTAAAAAATCTCTAGAGAAGTTATCTTATATTATAATAATAGATTCTTATACAAAACTCTCTTAATAATATCATGAATATCTAGATGTCTTCTGATAAGATAATAATGTTACAAATCTATCTTTCTTACAAGATTCAGAAGTGAATCACAGTATCAAGTTAAAAAAGAAAATGATAAAGATCTTAAATTATTATGAGATTTTCTTTATAATATATTCTGAGATGAACTTCTTC